TATCTTCTAGAGTATAAATGCTCTTCTGTCTACGAAAGCCGATACCCATAAACGAAAAAGAAATCGTTTAATAAATTACAAACAATCATCCACTCGACAAGTAGTATCTAAAATATTTCCTCTACGAGGCTAAAATAGCCCACGAATAAAAGAAAATACTCCCCCCTGGATCTGTAAATAAATCCCAAACGACGTTACTCAGAAGCAAAACAAAATTCTAGAGGACGAACATTTGATCAGAGCCGTGTTCCCTTCGCTGGCTGCGTGACGAACGTGCGCTTATCAATAGAATACGAACGCGTAACGTCATTTAATAAGACCGACCGACACGAACGTGTCTCGCTGGCTCCATTGACGACAGGCTTGGCATCACAAAGATCGGACACGAGTCGCAAACATTCGCACGCTTCGAGCGCGGGGCCGGTACGTTTCACCTGGTGATAACGGTCTGCGTGGTGGCATAAACGATAAACGACAGCGATAACTGCGCCCACGATACCCGCCGCGCATGCTTTTGACGGCCGGTGACATCATTAATTATTGTTTTCCTTCCTGGTATAGCACGCGGTACCACGGAAAGTCACGCGAGAAGTGTGAGAGCCAGCCGGATATGATCGGCGCAGTTCCCTTTGATGCGTACGAAAAATCCCGACAAAATCAGGCTCTGTTCAGAGAAAGATAAGCAATTGAAGAACATCGAAAAGTGAGCTAAGCGATAAATTAGACGAGATAAAGATATTCTTTTTTAAAGAAAAATTTCGTCAAGTATACTCCGATACGAGGTGCAATTTTATCTTTCTTCTCGTTAGGCCGAAGAAACGTTTTTCAAACGCTAATTGCGACGCTTTTATCCTTACGAGCACTGACGTGTTCCAGTGAAATTGCATTTGTTGACCAGAAATCTCCTTTCGTTCGCGGATCGTCCCAGTCGTATGCATAATGTTATGGGGCGAAAATGATTTCGGGGACTCGACTTGCGAATATTTACACCGATTATCTTTCTTTCGGGATAGAATCGCGCGACATGCGTTATAACAGAGCTCTTTAAAATACGTACTGCGAGCTGCGAACAGGGAGATTCCCGAAAACATAAAGGATCTCGTAAATTATCCTTCTCGATCGGTTCGATATTAGCACACCTGTTTATTTACATTTACATTCGTATTTTAATTAACCCATCTCTTATCATGAACTCTGCGGGCTG